ACCAAATAGTACTGAAACCTTTAGTATGCAGTACTGAGCCGCCGCGCAGTTGCTCCCCGGCACGATCAGATGCCGGGGGGAAGCCACTGCAGGGAGAGCAAGGCAGCCGAACTGCGCATGTGTGCGCGTGCGCAGTTCGGCCAGGAGCCTCGATTGCTCCTGCAGACGGGCGCGCCGGCGATCTCATGGCCGCACTTGCTGCGCAGTTCCAGGTTGGTGCTACCTTTTACTTGGGGGGGGGTTGCAGCGGGTTTTAGGCCGGAAGGGATGGATCGGGGACGGGTGCACGCCGATTCCCAGATGTTGTGGTGTGCTCGCGCCCGTTTGCTGCGCCCCCGATCTGTCCCTCTTCCGGCCCAAAACCTCCCGTGTGACCGGGGTTAAAGTTGGCATTGACTCAAATTAACTTAATTCAGCTAGAAGGTAGGTCAGAGGTCACCAACATTTTACACTCTGTGGGTACCTTTGGAATCTTGAGAGGAGGTGGTGAGTGCTGCCCCGAAATGGCTGCTGCAAGAGGTGGAGCTGAGCATGATACCTCTCTCCTCACTTTTCAAAAGAATCACAGGAGGGTAATTAAGTGGAAGAAGGGGGAAAGAGAAATGATAACAAAAAGAATGAGGGCAGTTAATAACAAGCCCTACCTTACAGTGGCACCACCCAATTTCTTAAAAGCTTGGCAGGCACCAGGGGAAGTACTGAAGGGTTCTGGATTAGATGTTATAGCAATACAGAAAGGCAGGAACTGGCGATGAACACATAACATGCACATAAAGTGGCCTTCTATTGAATTAGACTGCTGGTCGATCAAGGTCAGTATTGTCTACTCAGAATGATAGCAGCTCTGCGAGGTTTCAGGCACAGGTCTTTCCTATCATCTCCTTTCCTAGAGACTCCAGGGATTGACCCTGGGACCTTATACATACAAAGTAGATGCTCTGCTAATGTTCTATTTGAAATTAGATAGAACAATAAATAGGAGTGGGTGATTTAAGTGCCATGTTACCCTGTGTCCCTCCTTTATTTATTATGGCACCCACAGCTATTCCTTACTTTATGTCCTCTCCTAATTTCAAACTGCAACCATTTAAAGCAGTCTTATTCTTCCTTATATGTACTTTTGGTGTTTTAAAGGCAAAATTATGCCACTGTTACAGACCATGTCTATTGTCCTAAGGCAGGTATTAGTAGGAACTGTTGTGGTGAAACGGATGTTGGAATTAGGCTGCAAGTCAAATGCCAGTTTTTGCTTGGCCTTTAAAATCCCAGGCTTCCCAGTCTCTGAAACGACAGCAGTTATCATCTCCCCCATAAAATTACTGAAAAATAAAATCTCCTAAAATAATTTGGGCATTCAAATCTTATGTAAATCAAAATTATATGAAGCTTGTTCTAGATCTTTGTTTTTCAAAGGTCCGTCCCAACTCAGCCAAAGTGAATGTGTGGTAGGGTGCAATCATGTGCCAAGCTATGCAACTTGCACTCACAGACCTGTACTGTTTGGGTTCATGATAGACTGAGGTCTTCATACCAGAGAAGACCAAATGGGACCACTTGTTTGCTGAATGGTAATTGGTAAAAAGCAACATTGATGCAATCCTGAATACTGTTTGTACTTATTATGCTAGACTTTGACTACTAAGGACTGCTTCAGATATTTACTTTCCCCCATTAGCATGGCAACATATCTGTGCAGAGAACATGACATTGATCCAACCCTCCATGGACACAGCTCTGTTGTACCAATAACTTAAAAAAGGCAAAGAAAATCCTATACCTCTAAATAGGTCCTATCACATTCCAGCATGCTGATCAGTGGGCAAAACCCTTCTGTGAATCCAGCACACAGGCTGCATCGAATAAACGGTTAATTCATCTTAATATCAGCAATGCTGTGATTCATAATGCAAACTGGAAGCATCCTTGATGTTTTAGTCACACATTCCTTTTAATTTTGCCATGCATTCTTTTAAAGCTACAGTATGCTAACTTAATAAAATGCAGCATGCAAATGCACAAGTTTTTTGCCTTCAGGCTCTTTAGCCATGGATGTTTCAGTTGGTGTCTCCTTTCAAGTATATATTCTTTCTTAAATTATTTACCCTGTAAACATGCTTTGCATTTCCAAAGAAGGCTCTGGGTTCACTGTCTGGGAGATTTTGCTGAATTTTTTAGGTAATAGGAATCCAAAGTTACAAATATCATTTGCTTTGTCTTGGTGTTTGCTGTGTAGCTGTTTTGGGGGTTTTTTTACTAAGATATTGAACCCTAATTTCCTCATCCCTTCCTCAACTTGAAATTCCTTGCCGCTTTGCCTGCAGCAATACCCACTGGCAGTGTCTGGCTGTGACAGCACTAGAGGCTTCTTTACAGATGGGCCCTGCCAATGCCAGCCATTGTTCTGCCATTGTGAGCTTTTCTTTAGTGCCCTGACTTGTTACTGTGAGATCTAAAAATGTCCTGACATCCGAATCAAAGTTCTTCATGTACCATTCCTTACCCTCACTCTCAACAGTGGAACTCTAGCAACACATTCCAAGTTTTTTCTAGCTCTGCACCCCTAGTAGTAAATAATCAACATAGTTTTTAATAACCATTTCAAGAGAATGCTCATTGTAGAGTTAACAGGAAATAATATTATTAGTGCAGAGGAGCGTGTTGATAGCATCCTTCTTACTTCATGATTAATTTGTTCTGTCCTATATTGTGTTGTGGGGGGTTTTTTTTGCTGCAATGGGCAACCTAATTCAAATTCCTAGAAGTTGAACTTTGATATGCATATCCCAGATTCTCACATTAATGGAACACTTAATTAGCAAGAGCAAGATACAGGTGGGGGTCTGCAATGCTTCGTCTTTTCTGATGAGGATTTTGTAGATGCACTTGCAGATTAAGTAATCTTGAAATCAAGTGTGCAGCCAGAGAATTAGAAATGAATCATTTGGAGGAATCATTTCATTTATTCTCCCCCCCCCCCTTTTCTTTAATTTGGTGTGATGAAACACTAATAACTAGGTCAGATATGAGGCAATGGCTTACAGATTCAGCATGTTAGATGCCTGCATTTGCTTAACTATGTATTAGACTGAGCAAGTTTCATCCACCATTAATCCTTTGTAAATTAGTATTATGGGTGCCTTGGGGCCCTTATCCCACAAATAAAATGGTTGTCAGCCAAGTTGCATTAGAGGCATATTACTCCGTGTTACTTAAGGCTGAATTTTAAAGTGTTTTCATGCTTTCTATTTTGTTCTCTTCTGAATTTCTGTTTCCCTGAGTTTCTTTTCAGGATCAGTGAGGGTGGCTGAGTAAATATGCACTCTGCTTTTCATGGATTCACTTGGGCAAATAATTTGCTATCAGGTGTTGTTTTCCTAGAGAATATCCCAAAAGAAGAAGCGAAGAGAAGGAGGGAGGGAGGGAAGGAGCACTGTAAGTTCAGGTGTTAATCTGCACTGCAAACCAGTAAGAAGCAGAAACCCCTTTAATTAGCTTTAGTTTGTTAGACCATTAAACATTTTTTTCTCTCCCAGAGAGACAGAGAACTCTGTTCCCTTTGGCAGAGTAAATATTGCCTGTTAAGTTTGAATTAGCTGTCATCGTGGGAGAATTAATGCTGCGCTTCAGCCTTTCTAGTGAGGAAGGGGAAAATAAACGAGACAGATCTTAGTTCAGCTTTAAGTGATAAATGAGGACAAAGCAGGCCATTCATCTCCTGTTAGCAAAGTGGACACAAGCACTAAAGCAGTTTTGCGGAAGACGTGTCAGCAAATGTGATCATTTTGTAACCTGTCAGGAGGATAGAGAGCTAGTCCTTTTAAAGTGTCACAGGGGAGAGTGTGTGTCTGATGTGACAGTTTTCATCCATCCATTTGCTTCTCTTTTTTTTAGGTAGATGTTGGAGCAGTGTGGGGTGGACATTCTGAGAGAAGCTGTAGGGTAGTGAAGTTGGTTCAAAACTGTATACTTCCATTCTTACACTTTTTGTATATACTTTAGGCACACCCAAACTCATCTCAGGTAACACATTCATTTAATCAGGAAACCTCTGTCCTTTTGTGACATACAAATACTTGTTTTTGGCAAACCCACTTAAGTTTGACCCAACTGCCCTGTCTAATAATTTTTTGTACTTCTTTCCACTGTCCATTGATTGTTTGTTTGGCTGCTAACTTAAATTTTATTTCCAGTTTTTATGTATAAACACAAGTAAATGAAACTTTGACTCTCTTGTTTTTTCATCTGACTCTAATGATATTGAATTGCAAAATATGATCCCTGTTCATCTGTACCAAGATGGAATAATATAAAATGTTAGTACTTCTTGCATCTTTTTTATTATTACTAATTTCTGCCTCTTCACTACACAGCAAATGTAATGCTTGCCTTATTACCATAAGTGAATCTATGCTACTGAGACAAAGAAGGCTTTTTCAACATAAGCTTCACAGTTTGACACTTGCTTCTTTATACCATCCTTTTTTTAAGATTATCTTTTATACTTCTCCCTTGGTATTTGGTACAAGTACCTTGCCAACATGTTTCCTTGAAGTCTTTTATCTTAACGACAAAATCCCTTGAAATTAGTTAATTTTTCCTCTTTAGATTTAGGAAACCAAGCTAAAATTATTTCAGGGGGTCTATAGCCATTTATTTGTACCATTTTGCTTTCTGTGAATCTCCATCAGTCTTTTAAAGCATATTTTAAGTGTTTACTTAAGTATAAGAGGCAAATAAACCTTTGATTATACATTTTTATGGTACGTATACATGTAATAAAGCACAACCCCATAACACAAAATCTGAACTTAACCATGTAACAAAATACTTTCAAGTACTGGAACTGAGGGACAAAAATAACAAGCAAAATCAGTATAGACTACAAGCTGCATACTTGTACTGTGAGTAACTCACATAGAACAGAAAAGTTGGATGAGCTGCATCAATCTTTTATTATCTTATTCTCTCTTACCACTGTTTCTCTCTTTTTCCCCCCCTAGGATCATCCAAAATCGGATTTTGATAGTTATCTTGGGGATCATCGTCATCTTTGCAGTCGTGATGGTTATTTATTTCTCTGTCAGGGGACACTGATATCTTTGTTCTTCACTAACCAGCAGCAAACTGCTTCAGAGTAATTAAGACAAAGTGGTCACATGAATCATTCTCTTGCACTGAAATGGTACTCCCTCGCAAAGCCTGCCGTTCAACTCTGGTGCAAGTAGAAAATATATTTTGTCCCATTGTTTGCATGTGTATTTAATATTTTTCTTTGCTGTAGAATATGTGTTTTAAATTAATGGTCTGGTTTTCACGTAGCAATGTATGGAATGGACATATGTATTTAACATGCAAGATGGCACATGTAATTAACATATGAAATTCCAGGCCAGATTGTTCACGCTCACCATTGTGTTGAGTTAGTATTCAAATCTCAGACAGAAATTTACCTTTAAAGATACTATTGGAATATGCAAAAACAATATGAAAAATATACTGAGTGATAAGATATGTATACATGTCAGAGATGCAGCCCAGTATACCCAGTAAACATACCACCTTTTGACAGGAGAATCCACTATGATACTATTATTCTACTGAGATCATTATGTTGTTTCTTTTCAAACTTTCTTTAATTATTGATAAATTAATCATTAACAAGTCAAGGCCTTTATTGTCCAGTTAATTTCTTTTTCAGCGTTGCCCATGTTTTTTATGTAGTTAATTTTGCTTTGTGGTTTTAGCGTCAAACTTAGACAATGCATCTGCCATGAGTCTGGTTGGGGTTGCCTGACTCAACATACAGACAGATGTTATGTTGGGAACTAATGCTCCCAAGTGCTCCAGGGCCCATTATGGCTTGGAAGTACAGCTTGGGGGAGGAGAAACTTCAGCTTCTGCAGGTCCTGGGAGCTGAAATGGCTACAGGCTTGCTATGGAACTCCATGTGGTGCAGTCAGTGGCAGATATATCATCTAGTTGCCTTTAGTGTCCGTGGAGTCTAAAGCAAGAAAGCGTCTAGTTAACAGATCTTTAGAGATCCCCTGCAAGTAATTTTGGATTTTTCTGATTTAAATTCAGCATAATAATAGAGATTTATAAATTGAAGTACTGTGATGCAATAAATATAGTGTAATTTTATGTGATAATTATTTAAATGAATTGTATTGAATCTTAATACTCCATTTAAATGAAAGCAGTCTTACAGCATCAGGATTACATCTATTCAAAAGTGGTCAGTGTACTTTTACCAAACAATCACATCATAACACTTTCACATATATGATACAAGCATTATACATTATAATTTGCCTTTCACATTGCTTCAGTTGCTTCTATTTCGGCCCTCTAGCCCATTTTACAACTTTGCTTTTTGACACTACAAACCAAGTTGTTAACATTACCGCACCCATTTCCTCAAACTTTATATGGCATAAAGCATATATTTGCCACCATATGTCCATGCCATAGAAAACTATACCAGTCATGTATTCTTAGCACATGTATCAGTATGACGAAACATACATTATATTTCATAATGTGAAAGGAAACACCTTAAAATATAACATGTGGGGGTACCAGAACTGATGGAGGGTTCAATGATCTTTGTTAGTCGCTTGCAGCCTTAAGCAATGCTCCCTCTAAGCTGTGGAGTCTTGTGAGCAAAAATTCTACTTTGTGAGCTACTGGCCTCAATGTTGTGAACAAGCAATTTGGCTATTGCCTAAATTAGTTTGCTCTGGAGCCATCCTTCCTGAGCAAAGGCAGAAATGTGTGAGCTGGAGGCTAAAAAAACTGTGAGCTAGCTCACACTAACTCAACTTAGAGGGAAGTGGGCCATGAGTATATGTTGCAGCACCCAGAGCCACTAGGAACCATGAGCAAAGTAATTTCTCTGATTCCCAATGTCACTGCATTGTCAGGTTCCTCTGGACCTTAGATGTGTCTGTCCCCAACACTAAATAGATCCAAGAGGTGAAATTATTAAATATGGTGTCTCAGTTGCTACTTTTTGAGTCCCCACATCTCTCTGGACAAACTATGTTCCTAGTTACATGCATATTAGGCTCTTCTGTACTTTGGCCTTCTGGAACTACCCAAGAGCCATAAAAGATGTGTGAAACTATACTATAATCACTTCTCCCATAAAAATATGTATGTACTATTACATTTCTGCATATTAAGGATATCAGTTACTTGATAATGACCGTGATCATAATTTTGTTATAATATATTTACCTGGGGATGCAAGAAAATGGCTTTCATACTATACATTCATACATACGATTATATGGTAAAGATTGCAAAGATTATGAAACCTGAGATTCTGGACATAAAGAACAAACTAGACTACAATATATTTGAGAGACTGAAAATATAGTTAGGCAATCACCTGAAGGTCATAAGAATTTAGTAACTTAATCCCACCTTCCATTCTAGAGAACACTGAATCTCTATTGGCTTCCAAGATATCCATATTCCAACTTCTGGGAATGGAATTTGGCCCTAAACCTATTTACTATTCAGACAAAAGAACTGACTGAAATCTATATCAAAACTTGTATAGCTTTGTGGAAAAAAATCAAGATGAGGTGATTCACGAGAGGAATGCTTCTTATTGAAAAAGGTTAGGGCATGCATGTCTTCAAATAAATCATTTAAGTTGTGTAAACAGAATGGTAGCCTTTACCATCTTAATAATAGGGAAGGCCCTGAGTTCATGGAAGCCGGGCAAATGGGGATAAGGGAGAAGCCTGCTAGTGTTAAAAGAATGTACTGAAGCAGGTCTAAAGTTTGTGTGGATTTTCATAAATCCTTTGTTCTGATAAGAAACTCTTGTAAATATAAACTTGAAAGAAGAAAATATTAAATTCTGTTACTTTACTGATTATTTGTTGATGTTTCATTTGTTGACTTATTATTGGTAATGGTATAATTGTGTGCTTATGCTGGTTTATTTTCTGTTTCTATACACCTTCACAAGCCATTTTAATACTGAGGATTTTTAATAAGATATCTCCTCCAGCATTTTAAAAATTTAAATTATGAAATTTAAAATCTCACCAGAACACGCTTACTGATAGCCATCTAGTATCTCAATTTAAATCTCACTATGCTTTTCATATACCAGATTTATGTCTTACTAGATGCTCAGGGTTCTTACGAAATGACACCTGATATGTTTGACAGTATGATAACTCACAATCTAGATGCACATAGGCTTGCTGTATTGTAATTTGGCTTGGGCCTGGTCTATGCATGCAGCAGAATGACAGGTAAAATTCTAAGGTGGTAGAATGCACTGTATTATTTCAGGTTGCAGATGTGGAGATCACATTCTTAATGCTTCCCCAGAAAAATATCCCCTGCAAATAAAACTGGAGCATGTCAGGGAGAAAAGTTCCATTCTAGCCCTTCACATAGTGTGCTTGTTTTCCACTTACAGGAAATTCATAATGTTGGGGAAATTTTAAAAATTTTTCATCTGCAGCCTGAATTGGCACAGTATATTTTGCCATCTCATCACGGCACCACTTCATACTGTTGCATGTTGAAACCTGGCCCAAGACATGCTGTTTTCTTAGCTTCTTATAACCCTTTGAAATCTAGCAACAGTTCATACATGAAGTGAACCTACATGATAATCTTGAGAATGTGCAGAGTTACTGTCAACCCTATAACATGACTAGGCATGCATGGAGCCATGGTATATATGCACATGTGTATGCATGATGGGTGATATGTATCTAGAGTTGCCAGGTGCTTACCGTCTACCGGCATGGGGGGCTCCATGCTACTCCCCAGGATCTTCTGGCATGCGCGCTTTGTACATGCACCACAATGACATCACCCAGAAGTGAGATCATGGTGCTGGGCACGTCATGCTGGGGACACTCTAACATTTGGCCAAAAACTCTATGATCACCATTGAGTTTTCAGCCAAATGCTAAAGCATCCTCCATGCGATGTGCCCGGTGCAATGATGTCACCTCCAGGTGATGTCGTCGTATCGAGCATGGTGGAGCTCTTTGGTGCAGGGCTCCCCTGTTGACAGATTGGGGCCTCCAAAATCAGGGAAGCCTGCCCCCATCAGGGGGATGCCAACCCTATAAGTATCCATTACCAAAATGGGTTCATTTTTAAAACTTCTACCACCATAGTAGAAATTATGACTGCTGAATATGCTGGTTCACAGAGGCACTTCTACCACCTTATGTGAACCTGGGAACTTAGATTCCACTGAAGATGGCTTAGTATTGCTGTCATGTAAGAACTCCTCCCTCAGCTGCCTGTGATGGGTTAAATGGGCAACAGGAAAAGAACCACATATCAAGAAACTTTAGGCTCATAATTAACCTCAGTTAAGTTATTTGTGAAACCAAAAGCACACACTGGCTGTCTTTCTTTTTGTTTATTCCAGAAAGTTAATAGGTTCAGGATGAAGCTTATTCTGGCCGAATCTACAGGAAGCTGTTGCTATAGAACATGATTAAATGCCTAACTAAACAGGTAAACTATCATAGCCACCCCCACCACCTTAGCACGGGTTCTTGGCTTCCCCTGAACTCATTTTTTGCATCTTTAGAAGGTCAGTGAATGAATCAAACATATCTAAATTTAACCATCAAAAAGCAAAAGTCTTCTAATGTTGCAAAGCCTTTTTATTCAATGTTGGTCAATGAAAGCTACACATGTAACATACACTGTAAGAAAATCCTATTTGCTAAACAGTTCCATGACTCCAATCCACTAAACTAATTCTGCACTGATGCAGAATCAAAACACAGTTTAATTAATGACAATTAAGTTTTAAAGAGTTTTTAAATGCTCTACGTTTTGGGAAAAATATCAGAAAAATGTAGCCTGACTGACGTCAGTTCCCATCTCTGGGATAGAAGGCCATTTGGTATTCTGTTTAAGGCAGGCTGGATTGTCTTATTTTGCAGCCAGCTTGGTGGGGGGTTTTCTTTGCTGCTGCTTCAGAGCATGGAGCTTCAAA